TTAATCACTCTAATTGACCATAAGAGTAAGAGAATACAAATTCTACTCGATATCTACTTTAATATGACACTGTCTTAAATACCATCCTAATAAATAATTAAAATGTAGAAATGGTAAAGTTACAAAATGATTATGTAAATGAAAAAAATATGCACATAACATAGCCTAAAATAACAGAGCACTTTCATTACACATCAAAAGTTTCCTTATTACACTGGTGAAATACCATTATATCATCTAACTTTAGAAAGAAAAATAGAAAACACTTTAGGAAGCTAAATAGAGTATAGCTGTAGCTGTCATCATCATCACTATCACTCAGGAAGTGTTTAATAGACACAGATAGTCTTATGAAGTCACAGCTATAGCTGCTTTAGAATCGCAGTTATCTTTCTTGTCTAGTTTCAGCAGAATTACGCTAAACAATTTGGAATAAAGATAATTTATAGCTAATTATTCTCTAGGCCAGCGGTCAGCAAACTATGGCTCAAAGACTTCTCTGTTTTTGTAAATGAAGTTTGGAATACAGCCACCCTCGTTTGTTTACACATTGGCGGTATTCACACTACAGTGAGCAAAGTAGAGAAGCTGCAACAGAGACTATGTGACCTATAAAACAAAAAATATTCACTACCTGTCCCTTTACATAAAAAAGTTGGATATTTTTGCATTCTGTCTTTTTCACCTTTTTTTATAAGCTATTATCTATGTTATTCCTCAAAAATTACCATTTTTATGTCTATATAATCTTCATCTAGAGGTTGTAAAATTATCAAATATTTCTCAATTGCTGCATATTTTTTCTATTTTTTTCACTATTTAAAAAAGCACCTCAAAAATTCTGTTTTTCATCTACCTTTTCTTCAATTTGGGTTATACCAAGAATGGGATTACTTGGATCAATAATTGGAAAAATTGGAGACCCTTGTGGCACCCGCACTGGAGCTCAGTCTAAGGCCTGGAGGGAAGCGCACACAGCCCAGCAGCCACTGAGGTGAGCCAACACCAGACCCTTGCGGGCCCAGTCTCAGGCCCCAGGGGGAAAGGAAACACACATAGCCCAGCAGTTGCCGAAGTGAGCCAAGACCACACCCTTGCGGCACCAGGGCTCAGTCTAAGGCCCAGAGGGAAGTGCACACAGCCCAGCAGCCACCAAGGTGAGCCAAGACCAGACCTTTGTGGCACCCGGGTCCAGCCTAAGGCTTTGTGGGGGAAGAAAAGTGCACATAGCCCAGCAGGCACCTAGGTGAGCTGAGACCTGCACAGCAACAGGGGCATAGTCTACAGCCATGGAAAGCTAGAACAGGAGCCAAGGTGGTGTAATAAGATACTGCCACACCTTCTGTCACCACAAGGACAGTTCACCACCACAGTAGCAGCCAGGGCCACTCTACAGGCAACCTGCCACTCACTTGACTACATTGATAAAAGAGTCACCAGTAGAGCCTGCAAATAGAGGAGGAAGTATTTATACTCACAGCCAACTCGAGTAACAGAAGAAGCAAGTCCTCTACCAGATGACCAAATGTCAATGAAAAAATACTAGAACTACAAACAAATAAGCAGATATGACACCACCAAAGGAATACAGTAATGCTCAAATTCCAGACCCCACAGAACAGAGAATCCTTGAAATATCTGAAAAAGAATTCCAAGCAATGATCTTAAGAAAGCTTGAAGAAATAAAAGAAGATTTAATTAGAGAACACAAGGAAACAAGAAATAATGTCCAAAATATGAAGGAGGAAATTAACAAAGATATTAATACCTTAAAAAAGAATGTAGCAGAACTCCTAGAAATGAAAGATTCACTTATTGAAATAAAAAACACAACAGAGAGCTTAAGCAGCAGGCTAGAGCAAGCAGAATTTCAGATCTCGAAAATGGGCTTTTCGAAATAACCCAGGGAGACATAATAAAAGAAAAAAAATTAAAAATAATGAGGAAAATCTAAGAGAGATAGCAGACAACCTCAAGCACTCTGACATCTGAATTGTGGGTATTCCAGAAGGGGAGGAGAAAGGAAAAGGTATTGAAAACCTATTCAAGGGAATAATAACAGAAAACTTCCCAGGGGTAGGGAAAGATGCACACCTTCAGATCCAGGAAGTTCAAAGGTCCCCAAACAGATTCAATCCAAAAAGATCCTCTCCAAGACACATTGTAGTCAAATTTGCAAATCTCAAAGATAAAGAGAGAATTCTAAAAGCAGCAAGAGAAAAACATCAAGTCACCTATAAGGGAGCCCTTATCAGACTAACAGCAGACTTCTCAACTGAAACCCTACAGGCCAGAAGAAAGTGGAATGATATATTCAAAACACTAAAAGAAAAAAATAAATGCCATCCAAGAATTCATTACCCAGCAAGGCTCTCCTTAAGAAATGAGGGAGAAATAGTGTATTTCCTAGATGAACAAAAATTGTGGGAGTTCACCACCACATGACCAGCTCTGCAAGAAATTCTCAAGGGAGTCTTTTGTCTGGAATCTGAATAATGAATGTCACTACTACAGAAACAAGAAAGAGTGAAACCTGCTGTTAAAACTAAAATGCCAGTGAGAAAGAGCATGAAGC